CTCTGAGACAGGACCATCGAGCATTCAAGACTCAGTAAGGAGGCAATGTGATAGAGAATATACTGTATGTATACAACTAGTAAGGGAGGAGAAGCACAACAGACCATGTAGGATATTTTTTAAAATCACAATGAATATTTTTAAAGATTTTATTTATGTATTTGACAGATCACAAGTAGGAGGCAGGCAGGCAGAGAGAGAGAGGAGAAAGCAGGCTCCCCGCTGAGCAGAGAGCCCAATGCTCTCTGATCCATCTCAGGACCCTGGGGGATCATGACCCGAGCCAGAAGGCAGAGGCTTTAACCCACTGAGCCACCCAGGTGTCCCATCACAGTGAATCTTAACACTGAAAATAGGGAGCTACTGAGTTTCAAGCGGCAAATCCTTTAAGCCGTATGTTTTTCCAACATTACATTTGAGCAAAACCAATCTAGCTACCACACACCAATGGGAAGGGGTAAAAGAAACCTAAACCTATCCCAATAATACACGAGACAACTGCAGCTTGAAACTGGACCAAGCCATGGCAGTGTGATCAATACTTGTATTTTAAAGGAAGCCCTGACAGGATACTCCACCAAGCCCGAAGGGGAGGTCTAGGAGAAAAAAAAGACAAGGATGGCTAACCGAAGTCTGACTTTATGACATAAAAACTTGAGTTTCATTAACTGCAACTGGCAACACTGGTTTGAGAGAACAGCAGGAGCCCCATCTGGGACTTTTAAATTGATATAGTTCATATTCAGGGGTGCAGTCAGCTAGGTAACTAGACAGACTGGCATGTCATTCAAAGTTAAGTCTGGTGATGCAAGCATGAGAATCATTAGCTTGGATGGTACAGAAAATCATCTGACCGAACGAAGTAACACAGGGAGTTTGAGTAAAAAGAGAAATGGGAAGACTGGACACAAGAGTACTCCAATAGAGTGGAAGAATAAGCCAGAAACAGAACAAAAACCTAAAAACTATATAAAAAATGCTTCAAGGAGCAAAACTGGGATGTGTTTTTTTAAACTACAAATAGTTATTTCTTCAACTAAAAATCACTTTTGAAATGTGTTTACTTCCCTGAAATATGATCACATCCAAACATTTTATTTATAAAATTATACCGCAAAGCTGCATCTATCTAAATTTATTACTTTGGACTCTCCATCATTTTCATTTAAAGTGATTAAGAACTAAATATTTAATATTTTAATGATGGTATTTAGTTGCATACTCTAAAAATAGAAGTCCAGGGCACCTGGGTAGCTCAGTGGGTTAAGTCGCTGCCCTCAGCTCAGGTCATGATCTCAGGGTCCTGGGATCGAGTCCCAAATCGGGTTCTCTGCTCAGTGGGGAGCCTGCTTCCCTCTCTCTCTCTGCCTACTTGTGATCTCTGTCAACTAAATAAATAAAATCTTAAAAAAAAAAATTTTTCTAGAAGCGGTTGGGCTGCTACCTTTGGCTGAGGTCATGATCCCAGGGTCCTGAGATGGAACCCCGCATTGGGCTCCTTGCTCAGCAGGGAGCGTGATTCTCTCTCTGCCTCTGCCTGCTTGCGCACTCTCTGACCAATAAATAAAATCTTACAAAAAAAAAAAAAAGTCGTCATCCAAAGCAGTTTTTTTTTTCAGGGGAGGGGTAACTGTACCCCAAATGGATATGTTTTTCAAAAATACTTCATTATGTCAAGTAAAGAACAGTCAATCTAATATGATTAAGAGTTGAAATCTGTAGACTTAACTGCCTGGGTTGACTCCATGTGTCACCATTTATTAGGTATGTCTAACTTTGAGCAAATTTTTAAAATTGTGTTTCAGTGCTCTCATCTCCATTACACTAATGATAATACACAAAGGTTATGATGACTAAGAAGTTATAAGAACATTAACAGTGATGGACATATACACAGTAAGGTGTTCAGATTATTATTTCCAAAAGGAAGGATCTACTTCATTTTTCCTTTCAAACAGGGAAGTGATCATATCATGTCTTACCCAATGGGTTGTTAAGAGAAGTAATCAGTATCCTAGTGTCTGATCAACTTGTCCTCTTCCAACTAATTATATCTGTCCATTAATACACACACAAAACTCATTTGAAACAACTGGGTGAGTATCCCCAGGCCTAGGAGAGATTAAAAGATAGTGACCTACCCGGATAAGTCTTTTGATTTAGTGTCTTCCTTAAACTTTGTCCTCATTCCCCAGACAACAGCCAGAAGGAAATTCCAAATAGGATCTCAAGCATTCTCCAGTGTCCTTCAAAGGACTCCTTTTGTTCCCAAGACAATCTAGATACTAAATAAGGACCCTACAAGGACCACCAGTACACCAAGCTTGCTAACCACTTCGCTCATCTTTCCAACTCTGTGTCTTATTCTATGCATCCTTGGTGCCTACTCTCCAGTAGTAATTTTTGCTCTGAGGCCAAGATTTCCCCCCATTACCTGTGCTTTCAAGTAGGATAATCCACTTCTGGATCTTAATTTCAGCATCAATTCAAGATCATTTCACTGGCAGTACACTCCCCTCCCACCTCCATATTCTAAATTTGGTTCCCTTTCTATAACCTCATTCTGTTCTTTTCCTTCTAAATTATACAGTGCTCTTTGTCATTCTATTTCTCCTCTCAATGATCTGTAATACCCGATAGGACAGGGGGCAATAGGTTTTGTTCAACCAGATACCCCGCCTAATGAGGATTTTCAGAATAAGCACTCAGATGTCTAATGAATAAAATCTCTACTTAAATGTTCCAGGAGCATCTCAAAAACCAATTGTTTAAATTGCTTTCTCCTACTCTTACCCTAATCTGCTCCCTTTGTTTACCGAACATCTATCCTGGGAGTCAGCTGAAATCCTTGCTCCTCCTTATCACAGGGACTACCAAATCCTCCTACGTTTATAAGCTAGTCCCTAGTTCCAATACCACTGCTTTTGACCAGGCCAGCTCATTATTTTTCTGTGTATTTTACTATGTTCTTTATCACCTAACCTCCAATCTTAGTCTCCATTTCCACACCAACAGAGTGACATTTCCAAAATGGAAAACTGATCTCACTCCCTTGGTTTAGAACCTTTCAACAGCTCACCAACAGTTTTTGGATAAAATACAACCTCCTTAGCGTGGCATTAAAATTTTTACAATCTAGGGACACCTGGGTGGCTCAGTGGGTTAAGCCTCATCATAATCTCAGAGGCCTGGGATGGAGCCCCACAACAGGCTCTCTGCTCAGCGGGGAGCCTGTTTCCCCTCTCTGCCTGCCTCTCTGCCTACTTGTGATCTGTCAAGTAAGTAAATAAAATCTTTAAAAAAAATTTTTTTTAAATTTTTATAATCTGGTCTTAATTCTAAGGTTCAGTTCAGTTCTCTTTCCCTCAGAAGCATTTCCTGCCCTTTTAAGAGTCATTCAGGTACTCATTTTTACATGCTTCTGTAAGTTCTATGTTTACCTCTAATCACACCATGACAGTCTTATTCATTTGTCTCCCTCACAACGTTCTAAGTCCCTGAAAAACTACCATACCTTTTTGTATCTCCGCAAAACAGAATATGACCCACAAGAATTTGTAAGATTAACAAGGGACTGGGGCACCTGGGTGGCTCAGTGGGTTGAGCCTCCGCCTTCGGCTCGGGTCATGGTCTCAGGGTCCTGGGATCAAGCCCCGCATCCAGCTCTCTGCTCGGCGGGGAGCCTGCTTCCCTTCCTCTCTCTGCCTGCCTCTCTGCCTACTTGTGATCTCTGTCCGTCAAATAAATAAATATCTTAAAAACAACAACAACAACAAAAACAAGGGACTGACAGTGAACAGGAGCCACACAATCACATTAGAGTAACAGGAAAAACAGCTTTCATTTAACAGAGGACATCAATAATACTTGGACCTAGAAATTTTCCATTCCTCTTCTAGATAACCTCAGAACATTCTATATCACTTTCTCCCATTCTGTTTTCTTTTGAGGATGCCTTCAGAGTTCACTTTTTAAGTGGATTTTATTCTTTTAGTACAAGAAAAACAGAAATATGTGATTAATCCTAGCAATACACAGCACTGACTACACCTTTAAAGATCATTTTACTTTTTCCCTCAGCTCGAAATCTACTACAGCAGCTCTATAGTGAGTTACCACAATATTCCACCATAGTCAGTAAAATACTAGATGTTGTGGGATGCCTGAGTGGCACAGTCGGCTGGGCATTCAACTCTTGGTTTCAGGTTATGCTTGCAAGCCCTGCACTCAAGTATGGACTCCGCTTGGGACTCTCTCTCCCTTTGCCCCCCCCCCCAAAATGGACGAATTAATCTTTAAAATAAAATACTACAGGTTGCTAAATTCTGAATTCTTTAGATTCTCATTCTTTCCGAGTACTCTTGAGAACACATTCCCTAACATTTGCTGGGCCACAAGTTATCACTGAAAGAGAGATCAACTCTGTATTTCCTGATTTGGATACAGATTAAAAAAGTTTCACTGCTTTTTGAGATTAACAATCTACCTATCCTTAGAACAAAGCAAAACAAAAATCCTCCCAAGAAAAAGCATTTTAGTTATTACAGGAGGTTTTTTGTGGTTTGATTCATGTTAAATTTCAGTAAGAATAGCCTAAATGGAATACAATAAAAAAACTATTGTCACAAACCCAAGGAAGATTATTCTGAATTACAGAAAATTTTTACTTATTTTCAACAATCTAAGAATAAACCCACCTAAGGTGTCCTTATCTTGTTGCTATTTAAGACAAACCATTTTCATTCTGAAGTATATGTAAACTTCAGCTCCTCTTTCCAATAATCAAAAAATTGTCAGCCCAAGTTAGTTACAACCTCTAATTCCATCAGCTTTTAAAAAACTGAGCTGGCATCCCTTGGGGAACATCTCTTGAGATTAAAAAAAAAAAAAAAAAAAATCTTAATCCAAACATTTCCAAAAGCTATCACCTACACTGTATCAACTAGACTTAAATGGGTGTATTTCCTAGTCTCTGCAATGAAACCAAGTGGACCTCACACCTCTTACCATCACCCGGGAAGGGTGTGCATCTGTTCCGAAGGCCCCCCTGGCTCCAGGTCATCCTGGCTGCTGCTGTTCCAGGCTGGGCATCCATGTTGCTGCAGCTTGTGGTTTGTGAGGGGTAGTAGTGTACAGGAAAAGCAGGATGGGATTTCAAGGGTAACAGGAGGAAAATGGCTTTCTGGGAAAATGCCATCACCATCATAGGTGTTAAGTAGTACCACACACATTTTATTGCAGCACAGTTTAAAAATTTAACAAATGAAAGATTAAAAATAAAAAAAACAAAAATAAAAAATTAAAAATACAGACGTCCAGAGATGCTCTAAAACAGTTAAGTTAAAGATCAGGAAAAATAAGGTCACAGACTTAACAGCCAGTAAAATTCTTTCGAGCCTGGGGGAGGGGATGAGGGCAAGGATGGGGTTGGGAGAGAAAAGGTTTATGTGATCAATCCACTTAAAAATGCTAATGCCTTCACTTTCTCTCCCAAGATGCAAAACTCCGAAGTCAATCAGGAGGCCGGAGAAATTCTTATGAACATTCAGAAAAACTCGATTTTAATCCGGTTAAAAATCATCAGTGTCATTATCATCATCATCATCACCATCATTAAGTATAATAATAATAATAATAATAATAGTAACTAGTAACAACAATAAAAAGGAAATCAGCGGAAAGTCAGGAAAAATGTAAAAAAAAAATTGGAATAACTTACTGTAGCTGAAGATCAAAAAAATCTCACTGTAAAAAAACAAAAATAAAAATAGCCCAGATTAGAAAAACGGGAGGTGCAAAAATGTCAAGTCAGTAAAGTTCATTTCTTTTTTTTTTTTTTTTTTCCCAAAAGCAGTTTCCACAAAAACCGCAAGGGTAAAGTTCTCAGTAGCAGACAAGCAAAGCCCTTTCCACATCATCAATCAATCTTAAAAATACACGAGGAAGTAGAGAGGTCAGTTTATGAGAGGCTAAAAGGCTCCTCCTCCTCTAACCCAACTGCTGCAGAAAAAATAGAAATAGAAATTTTAAAAATTACATCTTAAATCCAAGTCCCGTTTTGGAAACAATTAAAAAAAAAAAACACCTGTAAATTTGCAGTAGTGCACACCAAGTTGCATCATTATGTTTAAAATGTCTTTATAAAATCAGTTTTGGAATGGGGATGTGTGTGTTCTGGAAGGGTGGGGAAGGGAGGTTAAAAATCAAAGCTGAGCTCCAGTGAGTAGGGATGGGGTTCGCCTTGCTGCCCTGTGAAAGGAGAAGGGACAGATTGAGTCAGAGTTCCTCAGAAATGTTGTGCCCTAAACCCCCAAGACAGAAGTATCTGTCCATTGCATGTAACACATTTTGGTAAAGCATTAACATTACACTGGGAAGGGAAAGCCTCTATAAAACCATCACCTCTACCAGTGACTGTCTTCACAATTCTTTATCAGTAGGTGACAAAAATTTACTAAATATAGGCCTATATTCCCACAAGGGTCTTAAAAACAAAAATCTACGAACATTCATCTTGATAATCAGCAGCTTGGACAAAGAAATTATAGAAAAACCAGGCCAACAGGGATGAAGAAGTGAGCAAATGTCAAGTATCAAAATTATTAAGGGGAATGGTCTCTCATGAAGATACATACTAGAGATGACATCTATTCTCAAAACCTGTATATCATCAAAACAAGACCTGATAGGTTCTATAGGGGAAGATGTTTATATAAGGAGCACATCATAAAATTTAGTAAGGAGCTCATCATTCCAGTGACAGAATGAAAAACCAAATGAAGGAGAAAAGATTACTAGAGTTACTGAATATTTAATGTCATAAAGTAAGTGAAAATTATGGTCCTTAATGAATTTGTTTCTGTGGTCTGTTTATAAGCTAGTATATGCAGCTTATTTCAAGATACAAACTCTAAGAATCTCACACAACACCACAGTAAAAAATAACATGCATGACAGATTGGCTGTTTCATCAGATAAAAGATTTTCAATTAGATTGCAGGTTTTTGAGAAAGTAAGGAAATCACCGCCCTCACAATTCAGCCAAATGGTTTTAATCTCCTTTACAAATGTTAACTAGGGGGACCTAGCTGGCTCAGTTGGTAGAGCATGTGACTCTTGATCTCAGAGCCATGAGTTCAAGCCCCACATTAGGTGCAGAGCTTACGTCAAAAAGTAAGGGGGGGTGGTCAGGGGCGCCCGAGTAGCTCAGTCAGTTAGGCACCTGACTCTTGATTTCAGCTCAGGTCACGATGAGCTCAAGCCCTACATTGGCCATGGGGCCTGCTTAAGATTCTCTCCCACTCCCTCTGCCCTTATCCCTCTTAAAAAACAAAACAAAATAAAACCTTCAAAAAATTAAAATTAAAAAGTGTTCCTTGAGTCAATTATGTGTGAATGACTACATCACCAGAACAAGTACTAAACCTCTAAAATTTTAACTATAAATTTTTTCCAAGTAGCAGATCAGTTTAAGTGTTAACCTGCAAATTAGTTTTACATTTGGATTGATGTTAAAATGTACAAACTATACAGGTACCTGGATGGCTCAGTTAGAGGAGTGTGGGACTCTTTATCTCAGGGTTGTGGGTTTGAGGCCCACAGTGGGCAAAGGGACTTCTTAAAAATAAAATCTTTGGGGCACCTGGGTGGCTCAGTTGTTAAGCATCTGCCTTCGGCCCAGATCATGATCCCAGGGGTCCTGGGAAAGAGCCTGGCATTCAGGCTCCCTGCTCTGTGCGAAGACTGCTTCTCCCTCTCCCACTCTCCCTGCTTGTGCTGCCTCTCTTGCTGTATCTCTCTCCATCAAATAAAAAAAATATTTTAAAAAATAAAATATTTTTAAAAAGTGTACAAAATTAAAAGTTCTAGAAAAGATACATAGCTGATTATCTCTACAGCAGTGTTTGTAATGTCCAGTTATGGTGAAACTTTCAATTTTCTTACTTAAGTCACAGCTTGAACCCGGTACTCAAAATCTTCAGGGTGTATTAAGTAACTTTTGTGGCTCATCTACAAATAAATCCTCTGCACAGTCGTCACAAGACAAAACGCTCACCAAAAAGTTAATATGAAAAGAATCATCTGTTTCTGAAAGTCATGAAGAGGTCTTCTAAGAGGTCTTCTAAAAAGTTACGTTAAACTGATGAGCTACCACCTCATAAGAAAGACTGAACAATTTTAGTGCCTAATTAAAATGCTTTGCAATTAACAGTATACCTAAATTATACTTCGTCAAACCTCTGGGAGGTTTGGATCCCTTCTTCTAAAGCACTATTCTTGAAGTGAGGGTTGCCAACCAGCACCAAGTGGCACTTATTAGAAATGCAAATTTCCGAGGCCCACACCACACTTAATTAGAAACTCTGGTGGTGCAGCCCAGTAATCTACTTTAACTATTCATTCCCCTTACGATTCTACTGTTGGTTCACATTTAAGAACCACTATGCGAGGTTAATGGGGAGCCTCTATCCCATAAGTAAGAGTGGTATAAAGTAAATCCAGGAACATCCTGACTTACAGTAAATGCACCAAGAGAATTAAAAAACCCTACAGTAATCCTTTTTCCCCCCTTTAAGCCCCAACTTCCTAGTAACTGATGACACTTGCAGTTATGCTACGTCAAAGAGTGCTAGTTCTCACTTGTCAATCCTGTAATAAATCTAACATGTAAAAACCATCATCTTCCCTGAGCCCAATCTGAATATACATATTAAGCATGAGCAAATGATGTTCTCCATGACAATCAGAGCTACTTCAAGACTAATTAAGATAGAATACAATCATTAATATATAAAACTGCTTTTAATAAAACTTTCGGTACACTTTACAGCCTTCTGACAACAAATGACTTGAGCAGAAATTAAGAAAATAGGTAAGATGTCTAGGCCCCCTTCTAAATATAAAACAAATCCATAACGTTTGGCTGATTTACCTAATACAGTAACGGGGGCGAGGAAGATGGAGCTAGTTTTCTCAACTTTTAGGCCAAGATTCTTTCAACTGTCACTCCCAAGTTAACATCTTAGATAACGACTACTTAATATAATCTTTATTATTAGATTAACTATTCTGGATTCATTCCTTGTTTGTTCTTACAGCAATTCCATCCAAAACAAAACTGCATGCTGAAACCTACTAAAGACCTAATCACAAATTTAAAGGAATGTTTAAATTCTCTATAGAAGGAATAGCAACCAACACCAAACATTCCATTGCAACCAGCATGGGGAACACAAAAAGGTCAGAAGAGCTGCAACTTAGTCATCCTCCTTAAATCCTTCCTTTTTAGCGACATGAAAATGCTATTAAAACCTATCTGCACCTCTAAAACGGTTTCAGACATTAATTCTGAGGCCCAATCTTTCCAGATGGATAGTAACTCTAATTAGCTGTTTCCTCGGTACATGTTGTTCCCAAGAAACCCTATTTCTCTCAGGTCAAGGCAAGAACAGTGCCCTTCAATTAATTTCAATTTTTACCAATTGTTATTAAAAGATTTCTTACATTTCTCTTTATTTGCTAACAATATTTTATGTTTATGACTTACATCTTAACTCATCACTGCCCTTATTTCTAACAGTTCTGTAGTGATAAACTTTAGTGGGTTTTTTTGTGATAAACTTTAGTTTTAAGCCCATGTAATATACAGGTTTATATTTTTTCTGAAGAGCAAACTTTTTATTCCCTATTACATTAGCCACATGGTGAGGAAATTGACAAATGCATTAACTATTCCATATAAAAGTACTTTTACCTTCTCTCGGTTTCCTAAGGGATGAATTTATCCTGCAGTATTGGTTTAAACTTTGCTAACAGTTTTTGGGAGAGAACAGACTATGAAAAAGAAATCATCCCCCTCCCCAGGTATCAAAAAAAAAAAAAAAAAAGCGATTTCTTGGGTAAGTCAATGTGATACTACTTAGAAACACCTATGCAATTTTTATAAACTTAACATTTTTCATAAGCTTCAGGACTTAGCAAATAGTGGGCACAATAATACCTTAATAAAAAGTATGCGTTAACTACATACTTTTTAAACAAGTATTTTAGAAAATCAATGCCAGAATATCCTGAAAGTCAAACTTTAAGTTTATATCAGAATGTTAAATTAGTAACTGCCAATCTCGTGATTAAATATTTTTCCCAAGCGCAGTTCGGGAATTTCCAGTTTTTACTGGAATGACTGCCATGATTAGGTTCTTGCAAAGATTCAAATACAGTACTATCAATACCTACTATTCCAACAGCTACGTAAACCACTTGACTAACGTAGTAGAGTCAAATTCCTTAGTAGTTCCGCTACTGATTTATTATGACCCTGGCAACCGACACTCTTGTGCCTCTCAGTTCCTGAGAAAGATAGTAGTACCTACCTCAAGCAAAGTTCCACTAACTTATATATTTCAAGTGATTTGTAACCTGCAGATAAAAAGTAAGCCAGCTTTAATTATTACTGTTAATATGTAAATGAGATTACAATATATTTTTTAAAAACAACTGAAAATAACTACTTCGAGGTCCGCCGTTCTCAAAGAGGTGTAAAATAAAAAGTAATCAGTAAAACATTAAATCTGTTGTTATATTTACTACTCTTATGCCCTTCGGTACGC